AAAAAAACCGGTGAAATAATTGATTAAAACTATAAGTGAAATATATGTAAATATTATTAATATTTTTTATAATTATATTAATTAAAAAAAATTCAATTTAGTTATTATTCCGCTTATCAAAAATCAAAATCTATAAAATATAACAATAATAATAACCACAAGAGTGGTGCATGATTGTTTTGAGCTTGACTTCAAAGATCAAAAGTACCAGGAGGTCACATGTTCATATCTAAGGAGGAATAAAAATCCTCTTGTGGCCACGAATGTTCAAATACGGTAATTTCAAGCTATCTACAAAGCAGGTGGTCGTCCTTGGATAATCATTAGATTGACGATCATGTGGCTTCATCTTTGAGAGCGAGAATGCTTACGTGGTTGTACTGGAACAAAGTGTCTCACATGCATTATTATATAAAAAATGGGAAACACGTTTTTTTTGGGTGTGGTTTGTACGTTTTAAAACATTACCTAAAATGAAATAATTATGAAAAAGACCCCTATTGTATGCATTATTAACGCCTTTAGTACCTCACCTCACCTCTGTTAAGCAAAATGAGTTAACTCAAGGGTATATGGGTCTTTTCATAAAAGTATATTAAGAAATAATTTTTAACTTCCAATAAGATGATACCATATGTTAATTCACCCAACATTCTCATCCTCCTGCTTCCATCCTCGTAGACGTAAACCTTCCCTCCCCTAATTGTTTTCGACATCATTGTCGTCTCCAACCTCCCCACCACCACCACCACCACCACCGAGACCATCTCCGACAAAGTCAGGGCAATGTTGACCCCAACATATTGTCAACAGTGAATAGAATATTGTCATATACATATGGTAACTGGCGTGTGAGTCCTCTATTTCACAGTTACACAATCACGACTTACTAAGCCACTGTTTTGGCAATAAGCATAAACTTTCCACACCTCCGTTCGTTCAAAAATTCAAACTACATTTCAGGTGTTTTACAATCATTTGCAGTTAACCAATAACAGAGGTTTTACATATTATCATGCTTGATGATTTCTTAAATTTGCATATGCATTTACATTTTCATGACATTCAAACAATGTTCTCGATTCTTGTAAATGATTGCTGCTGAGTTTTGTCCTACATTACATAGTTGGGGACTTATTTTGTTTGGGAGTCGGGACTTATCATGTTCTACATACTTGAGGTACTGGAGACTTATTTTTGGTAATGTTTATGTAGTCGTAATTCACTATGTCTGATTTTCTTGAATCTACAGTTTACAATTTATTGAAAATCGGAGGTGACTTCTTTAATACCCCTCCATCAGTATTTTAGGATTCAAGTGCCTAAAAAACATTTGTCTACAAGTAAGGAGAGAAAAAAGGGAGTTATGAAGGGGGTTAGTTTATACAAATCAAGCTTCGTACAGAGCAAAACATAATATAGGATATTGAAACAAATATATTCAAGTGTATCCAAAATCAGTAGCAATTATGACATTAAATTGCACAGTCAATTACAAACAAAACTACAGATCCTAATATCCATTGATATTCCGCTAAAATCAAAACCATCTGTCACACCATGGCCAACTCTCATCTGAAAACAAAACAAAATGAGACAACATGGTTTAATCATATTGCCAAAGATGGTGTCCCACTACATGATTGTAGTATACCTACACGTGGTTTACTTGGTATTCTTATTTTCCAAACTTATCTAACAAAAGGGTTTTACGTTTGCACACATGAATATAAAAAACTAGGGGTGACAATGGATCATGTTGGGTTGGTTCGGGTTCAACCCATTTATTAAACAAGTTGAAAATTTCAACCCAAGCCAACTCATTTAATTAAATGGGCTGAGATTTTTCAACCCAACCCAACTTCTTACTTAAATGGGTTGACATCAGATTGATCTGTTTATGATTTTCTTAACCCAACCTGTTAAATAAATGGGTTGAACCTGGGTTGACCCATTTAATTTTAAAATTTTAAATAAAAAAAGGATTAGACTATTAATTTTTTTTTTTGAATAAAACACAACTACAAATACAAACAAATTGTTCAAATTTGAATAAAACACAACCACAACAAATATATTGTTCAAAATAAGTTGGATTGGACTTTGGAGGCGATGATGGAGTAATGGACCAGAGGCTTTTATTAGGGTTTCATGATGATTAAGAATAATGGAGGCGATTGAAATTTGGAGTTTCATCTCACGACGGTAGGATTTTTAATTAAGAATAAAACAAAATTTTAGAATACTAGATATAATATTAAGAATAAAATAAAATTACATAATATTTTAAATGAGTTGAAAACAGATCAAAAAATTCAACCCAGCCCAACCCATTTATTTACATGAGTTAGGCGGATTGACCCATTTATTTAAATGGGTTGAAAATCTCAACCCAACCTGCTAATTTTGGGTTGGGTTCGGGTTGGGCCATCTTTTGCCACCCCTATAAAAAACCAACAAGAACTCCTTATATATATTCACCATGGATCAAGATATTTTTAACTCCGATGATAAAAAAAACATAGATTAACGCATTATGAAGTCAATGAAGCATATCAAAACACTTTTCTCGAATATCAAGTTTAATTCAACCATGAAGTTATTACAATAATATTTCAAGGCTCGGTAATTGTGTTTATCAAACAAAACACACACACGAGACAAATGATTCATAATGAATAACTAAATATCAGATGTATCACAATATAATCGACATGAGAGTCGTTCCATTATACAGAAATATCTAAAAACCGCCAAACTAGAGATATATAGAACACATTCATTGAAACCAAATATCCCGAAAATGATAAAGACGTATTAATGACATCTATAAATTTATGTCTCTTTAATGCTAAAATTATGACTTAATTGCTCCTAGCGTCTTAATTGATCGGTTACGAGATTCCAAAAATACCAACTTTCAAGAAGTTTGAGAATCAAACACTATTAATCTAATAATTTTCGTCATTGGACTTTAAGCATCAAAATAAATATATCTTGAACGAGATATGAACCCAGTAGGTAAAACACGTTAAATTTTACAATTACAGTATGTTCTGGAAATTATTTAGATCGAGAATTCAAGATATAATAATGAACTTCTCGAACAAAGATTAAAAGTGTAAATATTTTTAAAGTATACACTTTCTGAATTATTTTTTTAAAATATTTTTTAAAAATATTTTTTTAAGGAGGGGCTCATAACTATAAAAAAACCAAACCCTTTTAATATACTAGAAGGATATTCGCGCAACGTAACGAGATAAATCTCGATTTTAATGTTTATTTTTATTATTATTTGTCTTTATCGATATAATACGATTTTATGTGGTTTTGAGAAAACGATAATATATTTATTGTTGAATGAAATATAAATTTGAAGATAACATAAAATTTTGAAAAAAATAAGTCAATATTAGTATCAAATTTACTATTTAATAGTTCTTGTTTTTTTGGTGTAACTTCTTTAATTCAATTTTTTTTATTATAATTTAATTTAGATTTAATAATAAAAATAATTTATTTTTAGTTTAACAGTATAATTATTTTTATAAAGATAACAATTGAACATTCTGTTAGAACTCAATGATTATCTTAATTATATTTTAGATTTTCTATATTTGAAATAATTGTTTATCCGGTATTTGATTATGTTTATCTACAGTTAGTTACACGAATTTAAAAATGAARCTTTAATAAGTTGTACTTACGCAAAATTACTTGTAATATTGAATTTTTAATTAATATGCATTAATAAACAATACTTTATGCATAAAAAAATGATTTTTTAAGAGTTTTTGTCAAATACTTTATAATATAGTATTAATAAATAAAAATAAAACTACCCCAAAACGTAGTAAGAAAAAAAGAGAAAGAAACTTGGAAGCTCCAAAGTGAACAAGATCTAAATACAATGTTTACAATTTTACTTTTTACCTTTTTTTTCAACCACAATGATTAAAATTTTTAGTTATATAATTTTATAACGATATTATTATATAAAGAAAAGTTCGGTTGCAGATTCATTTTCGATTGTGAACGGGAAGATAAAGGAGACTGTGCTATGTATTACGTACAATCCATATTCATCATGAATAATGAACGTGATATTCATAAACTATTCATCATTAATGATACATTTTTCATGATGAATAATACACCATTTATGATGTATGATGAATAACTTGTTAATATACTCGGTTCACAATGAAACTTAGGTTTTCAATTAAACCTGCTCCTTGTATAAACAATAAACCATTCATGTGGATGGGAAAAAAATCCTTATCTCAACCACAAGGGTAGTGTCTGATTGGTTTGAGCTTGGCTTCAAAAGTCAAAAGTACTAGGAGGTCCCAGGTTCAACATCCAAGGAGAAATAAAAACCCCCTTGTGGCCATGGAGGTTCAAATGCGGTGACTTCCGGCTATCTGCAAAGCAGTTGGTCGCCCTGTGATTAGTCGGCTCGCATAGCAGGTTGGATATCCAAGTTAATAAAAAAAAATCCTCATCTCCCGTTGGGGGATCCCGATCCAAACAAGGACGAAGATGGGATGCAATTATATTCTCTGGTCCTATTAATGACGGGGATGGGGTACAATTATGCGGGAAGGGATGGAATTGGGATCCTGAGATACCCAACCCTATTGTCACCTCTGTGTCGAGGTTCACGTCTTGAACCCGACATAATCGTGTTCTAACAACTTGTAATTTATGTATTAAAAGTTGTTCTCTTATAATGGATTTGACCATTTCAAACACCCAAAATACATCATCAACCAAAACTAGCATTCCCAAAATTTGTCTCATAAAAGTCTCTTTCTCCTCTTCTACCATCCACCAATCAAACCCCATCACCATCACCATCATCATCATCATCATCATCATCTACAACACCAAGTTTCATAATCTCCCCTCCATCATATTTCTTGATTTCAGAAAGGGATTTCAATTCGATCTCACATAATATTTATATATATATATATATATATATATATATTTTTGGGAATTTTATGATTCTAATTTTATGCCACAACAAGTGTTCCTGTTTGTACACTACTAGCTTTGGTGGTTTTCTTGGTTGTTTCTGATGATTTCTTGACTCTCCATCTCTTCTCTCTTGCCTCATCAACCTCAATCTGTTCTTGCCTGCACTCTTTGCTGCAAAATGGATTGTTCCCTCTGAAAAAAACAAAGATTTCCCATTAGAATTCCCAACCTAAATTCACATGGTACAACCAAAATATGCACATGGTACAACCCTTTGATGCACCAAACTATATGCCTATATGGATTAAATTGAGCCAAGATGGGTGCTTTTCTACTCAATAATTCAAGAACCAAAAAACCCATTAAAATCTTGAACATCCAAATATGCCCATGGTACAAGTCTTTTATGCATGAAATTGGGTGTTGGATCTTTGAGTTGATGATATCTAAAGCAAGATTTTGATTGCACAACAAAACATACACAAGGTACAAGCCTTTTATGCATCAGATTCGGGTTTTTGGAATTCTTGCTGGAATTGATGATGAATCAAGATGGAATTTTGAATCTTTATGTTGGGATTTTGATGGGGTTGACATCTGAAGGCATAATTGTAAAGGTACAACAAAGACAGCATAAGGTACAACTCCATGATGCAGGAAGGGGGGTTTGCAATACCTGTACATGAAGATATCACTGTTATGACCCAGTGATTTTGAACAAAGAGTACACGCTTCAAGAAAGTGGGGATCTTCAACCCCTGCGTAAGATAGCATCCTAGAACTCATTGTGTGTAATAACAACCTTACTGTTGCTAAAAGTACGCCTAGTGCGTAGGTTTGAGTGGGGGCACTGGAGATAAAGAGAGAGTGGGGGAAGGAATTCAGGCTGTGGAGAAGTCTTCATTTATAGAGCCCCTGGTAAGAGATAAAAAGATCCGGTGTAGGACGGAGCAGGGAACGTTAATCTAAAACTAACGGATTTGTGACACGTGCTTAAACCCCACCTGTTGTAACGGAAGTCCCGATGCAGAGGATTATAAATCCCCTTGTTCCGAAAACCAAGGGGCTGCATCCATCGGCTCATACTTTATATTTTCATTTTGGTCCTTTTAGTTTGAGATTTTTTTCATACTAGTAAAAAAGTCCTTTTTTATTACAATTCTTTCCTATAAAAATTGTAATCAATTTCATCATTAAATGAGTTAAAATCATGATATAAATCAGGGACGGACCCAATAATTTTTGGATACGGTGACATCATATAAAACGGTTGCACTTTTTAGAATAAAATGATTGCATCTTTCACGAACCTAATTTTTTTTACTTTACCACAAAAGAACAACACGATGGCACATGCCACATAACCACCCCTCTAGATCCGTCTATAATATAAATATCTGATTAAAATAATATCAAACATCTTTCAAAACCACCGGAGCCAATAGCAAGGAGAGTGGCTTAGTGGGTTGTACAATACGCATCAATTACTTGTACACTATTTTTGTATATAAAATAATAAATTTAATAAAATAATAAATTTAATTGATAATAGCTAAAAAATCAATGTATCCATCGTTTTCGATGATTTTAAATTCTTCCACCATGGAGATGACAAAGCGTGGCCCCTTTCAGAATTGTTTAATTACAATAAGACCCCTTGTTTATTCACTTAATTCCAAATACCCCTCCATCTCCATCTTATATTTCAATAATGTCCCTATCTTATGGTTTCTACTTCCAATTTTTTGATTCACATTAATTCCATAATCGTATGTTTTATGAAAGGTTAATTTTTAGGGGCCGTTTACCTAATTGCTTACCCGTGAAATTCAAAACTATCGCTTGCTTACCGTGTAAGATTTTAGTCCACGAAAACAACATCGTATGCAACATTTTACCCGGTAAGCACTAATCGTGGTAAAAACTGTCACTCTCACTTACCAGGTAAGACTTTCGATCTTTGTTTTGCTCTTATCGAGTAAAGATTCTTAGTTCTTATCATATTCATCTGGTAAGATAACGTCACTTGATAAGTGCTTACTGAAGTAAGCGTTCAGTAAACGACCCCTAAATATTTATCGAATATTCAAAAGCCATAACAGTTGGCAAAAATATTCATTCATACTTTAAAAAGAATGTTATATTTTAAGAAATATTTAATACAGTTTTAGTATAAAATAATCTCATACAAATTTTTTATATCTAATTTTTAATCAACTGATAAATACATTTAAATTGTACAATATTCTCACTTATAAAACAACGAGAAAAAAAATACTTAAAATTAGATATTTTATTTTTAATAGAAATCTTGAAGTTATTTGCCAATTTGGATTTCTATTTGATGGTTTTACAATATACTTTTAATGCATGATAATGAAATGATATTTAGGTGCCGTTTATTAAATGCTTATCCGGTTAAGTGTTTACCAAGTTACATTACTTTACCAGATGAATATGACAAAGACTAAGAATCTTACCTGGTAAGAGCGAAAACAAGAATCAAGAGCCTTACCCGATAAGTGAGGACGATGACTCTTACCATGGTTAGCGCTTACCGGGATAAATTGTTGCATACAATACATTTTAGTGAATAGAATCTTACCCATTAAGTAAGCGATAGAGTTGAATTTTACCAGTAAGTGTTTAAGTAAACAACTCCTTAAATTTTTAATTACCAAATAAGCATTATAAAAAATTCTATACCAATCCAGTGGTCAAATTTATATTTTAACGATAAATATACTGATTACATCTTTAAAAAGTTGAATATGAATTAAATATTATTCAAACGATACGTTGATTACTTATTAATAGTAACTCATTAAAAAGTGTTTGATATGATAAATGTCATGTTTATATTAAGTCATAAAAAGTACAAAATTATCCTAAAAGATATTCTTGCATAATCGACCATACTTTGACTGTTCGATTTATCTTTAAACATCGGTACCTGTTACAAATATTTCAAAAGTTTAGTAAAGGGAATAAAGAACTTTTGAACACCGTCCCCTTACTTTTTAAAACATTGACGGAAATCTTAGAAAGATTTATAAATAAAATACAATCCTATCCATGTATGAACACGACTGTATTAAGTTTTTATACTTTAAATCAGATTTGTTCAAGCATAGACATGTTATCTCTAACACATAACAATATTATTGCAAGCAAAATATATAAGAATGTCTTTGTATGTATGTATGTATGTACGTATGTACGTACGTATGTACGTATGTATGTACGTATGTACGTAGTGACGATGTGGTGTTGTTGATAACTCTCATTTTAGCATATTTAAGAGGTATTTAGGGACGACCAGGAGTGGAGCCAAAAAAATAATCGAGGGTTATCCCTCTAAATAAAGGTAAAATGCATCAAAATGAAATAAATTTTAGTTTGGTTCCTATTTAGTACTGTAATGATTTTTTTCCCCAATCGTTGTAACAAAGTTTTCAATATTTCTATTTTGTAACTCTGTTGACACGTAATCTACTAATCTTGACGTGGATACGTTTATGAACTATTTACGACAGAGTTACGAGGAAGCTGACATAAAATTAGACATTCATGTCATCAAAATATTACATTAGATAGAATATTTTAAACCTCGTTTTATTGATTGAAATTTTTTAGAACTTTATCGCATTAAATAGAAAGTTGTCGCTTAATTGAGAAAAAAAAGTTATTTGTTACTGCGAATTAAAACATACTTTGTTAATATATATATATATATATATATATATATATATATATATACACTAGGTTTGAACCTGTGTATTACATGAGGTATTTTAAATGAGAAAAATGAGTTAAGTCTTTTCTTCAAGTCTAAAAGAAAACTTTGAACATTAACTCTGAAGCACAATAATTTAGAGTTTTGTTGTTAGACTGGAAAATAACTTTGGACTTAACTCTGAATAAGATAAATTCAAAGTTGTCTCATATGTTTAGAAAATATTTATGAGCATAACTCTGAATCACAAGAATTCTGACTTCTTATATTCAGAAACGTAATTCTAAATTTCAACTCTGAAGAGGAGTTCATAGTTGTATTCTAAGTCTAGAATAAACTATGGAACTAAGTTTGGAACATAACAATTCAGAGTTATGTTGTAAGCCTGAGAAAATAACCAATACCCGATGACTTCACAGCTCAGACTTCATTTGAATTCTTATATTCATACTTACAAGTCTGAATTATACCTGGCTTTCAGACTTCACATGTCAAACTTCATTTGAATTCCTACATTCATCTGGAGGACACTTCATAGTTAAATTCAGACTTACAACTTTGATTTTTCTAGACTTTCATACTTGTATGTCTTATAAGTCTGGAATACAACTATGAATTTAATTGAGAAAAAGGAGTTCAAACTTGTCCTTAGACTTTTATACTTGTATGTCTTATAAGTATGTAAGACAACTCTGAATTTTAATTGAGGAAAATGAGTTCAGACTTGTCCTAAGGTTTGCAAAGATAATCAGAACTTTAACTTTGAAGCACAAGAATTCAGAGTTGTGTTGTTAGGCTGAGAAATAACTCTGGACTTTAACTGCAAAGAAAAGAAATTCAGAGTTGTCTTCTAAATCTGGAAAGTATGTATGGGAATAACTCTGAATCACAAAAATTATTTTTTATAAGTCAGGAATGAAACTATGAACTTCAACTCTGAAGAGGAGTTTAGAGTTGTATTCTAAGGCCGAGAAGTAACTATGGAAATAAGTCTGAACCAGACCAATTCAAAGTTATATTACAAGTCTAGAAAATAACCAATACCTGATGTAGTTCAAACTTCATTTGAATTCCTATATTCAGACTTACAAGTATGAAAGACACTTTAAAGTTAAATTCAGACTTGCAACTCTGAATTTCCTAGATTTTTTTGTCTGATAAAGTCTGTAGATATCAGACTTATAAGTATGAGGAATGGAAATCCAGACTTTTGAAATGAAATCACTTTTCGTACGAAAATCAATTATGTTTACAGGGACATATGTCAATTAAATAGACCCATTTGAACCAATAATGTAAATTGTGTCTATATACATGTTTAGGCGGGAAATCCTTATAACCATCGCACAATAAGACGACACGTGGCAACCAAGTTACTTATTTATTAGATGTATATACACACACACACACATATATATATATATATATATATATATACTATATCAATAAAACTAATATCATTTGCGTAGGCCTTTAAATAGTTTATATATAAACAAAGAGGGATCTCTGGGTGGGTGGGATTATAGTGTTTGAAAAAAATCCTACTCTTGACTATATATTATATATGAGTTTGTACTTTCAGGGTCTATCCAGGATAATCTTGGGCATCATCTGGTTCCACCAGTGGTGATGACTGACGACTTCACAACCGCCAACTTCATATCGTCGTCATATCTGTCGTTATGGACATCGTTTTATATCATTAGTGTTAATCGAACTACCTAATACAAGTTATGAATAATTATTGGATTGTTTTACACTTGATACAATGAAATTGGGATTTTAGAATGTTTCATATGATATTTTTCAGTATATTTTATAAAAAAAACTGATATAACTTAAAAAAATAAATTTGTCATATTACGTTGATCAACTTTACCATAACAATTTAGTTTTTTAATATAAAAATACGTAACATTTTAGGTTGTCAGCTTCATCTTAACAAGGCACTATAAAAATATATAACATTTATGTCCAATTTACTAAACTTTTGGAAGTTTCGAAAATCGTGGAGGGTACTAATTGTAACATTTGATAGGGTGTTTTTTACGAATTAGTGAAAGATGAGGGGGTTTATGTGAAAATAACAGGAAAAAAAAGGAATCAAACCAAAATGTCC